GTGACCGAGCTTCGTTGTAACTTTCGATTAGAATCGAATAAAGGCCAAATGTATCAGCCCATTAGATTGTGGTGTTCAGACGAACTACACCAACGGTATTCAATATCGTCTCTGAGTCGACAAAAATTTTAAAAGGTAAACGTCCATATCCTAACTATAGATTCCACTGCGTTAGGATTTATTTCGATAAGTTCAATACTGTACATGTTGTTTGACGTTCCTCATAGTACCCAACATGCCCATTATTATCCAGAATTTAAAAAGTGCCTAATGGTGGTAAACCTGAGCACTCTTCAATTCAAAGAATCGACAAGGTAACCGTCGAGACGACTGAATAAGAGATGAGAGGGCTCGACGCGAGACAGGAGAAATAACCCAAGGATGTCCAACAAAGAATAATGAAACTTAACGTTGAGCGACCAACAGATTTACTCTTAAGCTCAGAATCACTTAGAGTATTTCTAGGGGGGACTAGATGATACAGCCATATCGCAGTGTACCGTTCAGATTTACATCTTGGTTTATTTCCCTAATATATATATATATATATATATATGAAATACATCAGTAAAAAATAAAAATAAAAAAGACATGACAAATACTCAAACCAAGATGTAAATGTAATTTCGATAATCAACATATGGTTAAAAGACATGTCATAATTTCTTACAAAATTTTAGTTTAAATCATCGACCACATTAAATTTATTAAAAAGTTTGAGGTTTTAATCATTCTTACCGTCAACCTAATTAAATAACATTTGAAATAAATAATAGGGATAAGAAACAACATACAAAATTAAAAAAATGAAAAGAAAACGAAGATGTGAAGATTGAATGAGAAAACGTACCTTGAGTAGTGAGCAAGCCGTGAATTTTGAAGAGTAAACGAAGATCCTGATGAAACAACGAAGACGATTCTTAAAAATGATAAAACTGGTGCTTGTAAAAAAAAAAGATTTTTGTAGCAACGAAGATATTTTAAAAGTGATTCGGTTGCGTGAATTTGAGATTTTGATAAATAAAAAAAATAAAAAAATCTTTTTCATTCATATGAAATATTGCACCAAAATATTATATTTTTTTTGCTTAATTAAAATTTGATATGCATAAATATATTCTGATAACAGATTTTTGAAAAACTGTATGTTTAAGAAGTCTTTTGTTGGGATAAAAGTATAAAACACAAATGATATTTTGAAATATAATATTGAAGAAAAATAAAAAACATAATTTCATTGTTGCTTAGGGGGATAAATTAAACATGAAATAGTATTTGGAAACCACATTTACGACGAATTTGACGAAATTGAGGGTCAATTTGAATTCAAATGCTGGATTATTAAGTGAAAATCACGACATAAAACTGCTTTGAATTTTAAATTTTCTAAATAATTGGATATTGTTTGATGGTAAGGGATCATATGAGAATGATCTCTAGTGAAAGAAATAAGAATGATTTTGGAGCATTAGATCTAACATATCAAGGGACCTGATGGAGTCAAAATTTATTACATTGGTCAAATTTGTTATGGCAAAATTGTAAATATGTGTTTATTCTTGATCAAATAAGTACCTCTAAGGATAATTGTGTAATTTTAATGACAACACCAATCCATTGGGCCCCACACAAAATAAATCCCACCTCCCACATCCCATCCGTCTCTTTTCTTTCTCTCTCTCTCTCTCTCTCTCTCTCTCTCTCTCTCTCTCTCTCTCTCTCTCTCTCTCTCTCTCTCCTCTCTCTCTCTCTCACAGACTCCCACACACACATTCACCTGCAACAAAGTGAGTCTCCTCCAGCACCTCACACTGTCGCCGCCGTCGGCGGCGGCGACATCAACATCGCAGAAAACGACCACCACTGTAGAAGCGGCGAACCGGAGCTCCGCCATCGAAAATGGAGTTTTTCGCTGCACGGCAAACACGCGCCTCCCGCTGCCGCCGTCGGGCAATCGGTCGGCTCCGCCTTCCACAGTCCGCTCATAAGCCACCGCGGTCTTCATCTGCTGAAAATTGAGCCGCGTTGCTCCTCTGTGTAGTCGCCGGAAATCTACAACGTCGAAGAGCTGCTCGAACCGGAGATCTTCATCTGGCCGAGGCGTGGTGGCAGAGCTCGACGGGTTTACAAGCTCAGGCCCATGGCAACGCCGGCTGCGGCGCCGTTAATCAGAGATGGTGACAAAATTGTGTTTTGATTTGGGAGGACTTGTGTTTGAAAATTAGATAATATTTAGGGGCATATTTGCAATTTCAGTATTTTTTATATTTCAATTTAGGTCATGGGTGCAATTTGTAATTAACAAATCTTAATTAAATTTTAATATTTCATTTATTTTTTGTTGGTTGGATTTCGGTCGATTTTGTGCAATCTGGTAGTCAATTATGTGCATTACGTATAGTCATAAGGTGCAATCGTAACACATAAAAAATGTAGATAAAAAAAAGTGTTGTTTGTAATATATATTCAGTCAATTTGCATAATTATTGTAATTTGGTAGGTACAGTGTGTTGTTTATAAGGTGCAACATGACGTGTTATAAGGTGCAACGTACCGTCGTATAAAGTGCAATTTATTGATCTATAAAGTGCAATACTGAAAACAATTAATATTATTCGGCCGATTAGCATAATAATTGTAATTTTGGTATGTTGGTAGGTTAGCATAATTATTGTAATTTTGGTAGGTGCAGTGTATTGTTTATAAGGTGCAACATTACATGTTATAAGGTGCAACGTACCGTTGCATAAAGTGCAATGTGTTGATCTATAAAGTGCAATACTTCGTGGATATATGATTGATGTATATTAAAGTATTATGTAGAGTGAAATGTGCTGTTTTTTAAAGTGCAACATTATGTTGTATAAAGTGCGTTAATTTATAGAATTTCTTATAAATTCTATAAATTATTATGTAGAGTGCAATGTGTTGTCTTATAAAATGCAACAACCCTGTATAAATGCACTAATGTATATCTTAAATTTTGTGTATTATAAAACTAGTTTTAATATATATATAATTGTACATTGAATTAGTTTAAATAATTATTTTTTTATTATTGTTTTAGTTGTATAATTTATTTATTATTAAAAAATATTTTCATACTATTTTATTTTTTTAAAATAATTTTTTAATGATTTATTTATTATATATATATATGCATAAGAAGGTGTATAAAATAATTTTTTTAATAACATTCAATAATTACAGATTTGACCCTATGTGTCAAATTGAAATATACTTAAAGTTGTTAAAATTGCAAATAAGCCCCTTGACATAATCAAATTCTCAAAAAAAGGCCCAAACAAAAAATATAATTTCAGATTTTCTAATGCCCGCATCACCCCCTCTCACATCTGCTATGGCGTCGTTCGAGCTCCAGGAGGTGGCGGGTTGTCCGGCGGTAGAGTTGTTCGAAGTTCCCCACATATATCTCCTCCCCAACGACCGGCGGGTGGAGGTCGTCGGAGATGATTCGGGGCAACGACGGACTTCTGTGTTGATAGGAATCGAAATTTGGCCGCCGTTGGAATGATGCCGGAGACATTCTGAGACGATCGACGAAGACGGTGAAGTCGGAGGAGACTCGCAGAAGGTGCGGCGGCGGCTAAGGTGCGAGACGGCGATGGCGGGGCGGAGCAGCAGAGGCGACGGCGAACATGATGGTCGACTTTGTGCGTGACCGCCGGTGACGACGTTGAGTGTTTTTCCCTCGCCGACGATGTGTGTTTTGTGTGTGTCGCGTGGGTGTGTGTTATTTCTGTGTGAGTTGCGTGTGTATATGTGTATGTAATTGTGTGTGTAATTGGGTGAGTTGAATAGTCAATGTGTGTGTGTCAGTGTGTGAGAGATAAGAGTGTGAGATGTGTGATGTTTTAGTGGCCACGTGGCAATATATTATCGGATGTAGATGAGTGTTAGTTGACATAGGTCCCATATTTGATAGTTAAAATGTCCAAAATACCCTTAATGACTAAATAAATGCAGGATTTTTGGTATCCGTTAGATCATTTAATTCGATGGTTGTGATGTATTCTTATTTCTTTCATTGGGAACCATTCTCATGTGAACCCAACCCATTGTTTGATATTAAACATAAAAAATTAACCGATGATACAAAGAGAGAGAGAGAGAGAGAGAGAGAGAGAGAGAGAGAGAGAGAGAGAGAGAGAGAGAGAGAGAGAGAGAGAGGAATTTGAAAGGAGTTGCACATGATTTTTAAATGATTTCAAAATATTTTTTTTCCTAAATAATTGGATAAGTTACATTAAACACCTATAAATTAGCTGATTTTGTTAGCAATGAAGTAGGATACGAATATGAATTTATTTGAATATAGTTTTTCTAAATAATTGGATAAGTCTTGACATTAAAAACCTAAAAATTAGCTGATTTTGTTAGCAATAAAATAGGATACGAATTAGAATTGTTTTGAACATATTTTTTTCTAAATAATTGGATAAGTCTTGACATTAAACACCTAAAAAATAGCTGATTTTGTTAGCAACATTATAGGATACGAATTAGATGGTAAAATCTCAATTGTTTCAAAATATTGATATTGATTGCACATGTTTTTTTTTTAAATATTCTTATAATAGTAAGTCAACTCATTTATTTTTTTAGTCAAACTTATTATTTCAATAATTTTCCAACAATCTCTTTATATTACTATAAATGAGCATTAAAAGACTAAATACCTTTAATGAGTTTGACTTAAATTACTAATCTCTGACTTCATCATGACAATTGGTATGATGAATCTAATAATCTACAACTGGATTACAAAATATCCCACAAATTACTACAAAACAATCTCCTTGTGTTCCATTGAAATATTGACTACAAGTTTGACCTCCATCACATACGCTCGTAACATTTGCTATTTACTATATAGATTGATGATGATGATTGATGTCATCATCCTTTCAAAATTTGGAGCACTTGAAATTGGGCCCCAAGAACCCTTTGCCAAAGTTTCAGAACCCAAAGGTGTTAACATGGATTTCTCCATCGATGAATTGCCGGCTGTTAAAGCCCTAGGCCCGCTGTTTAAGTTGACAGAAGTTAACTTATGGTCTGCAGAATCTCTCTCTCTCTCTCTCTCTCTCTCTCTCTCCGTCTCTCGTTCGGTTTTGTGTTTGGCTCAAATGCTTAAATTGCTCCATGGGTGATTTTTCAATTGGTTTACTTAAAACAGGGACCCTGAATCAAATGAATCATCTTATTTTCAAGAATCTCATGTGAGTTCTCATCATGTTTTTAATCTTTATGTTTAAGAATCTTTTATGAATCTGTTTCTTTGTATTTGAAATGTAGAAACTTATTGACGGAGATAAGGATTATGGAAAAGGCAGTCCGGCGAGATTCAATGGCAAGTTCTTTGTTCTATGGAGCTTGACTCCCATGTCTGTGGTTTCTAGTTTATTAGTTTTTGCTTGTGGATTGATTCACTTATATCGAGGAAGTTTTGTTTGCTTCATTTGAGTGAAATTTGGGCTTCATAATTGTATTGTTTGGCATTCGTTTGAAATCTCAGAATTCGCTTCAATACCGGAGGACTTACAGATTGCCAAAGAACTGAAGGATTTGGGACTTCCATATTCTTTCCATACTAATAAGGAGGTACAAACTTCTCATCATATGCGTGCGACTAATTTTAGGATATAATGCTTGATATGTTTGTTGTATTGAACTATTTTCATATTGTAATCCATTTTGGTTTGTGGTAATATGTAATGATCACCATTCTTGGACGTATTTTGGGGATACCAGACCGCAGTCTGGTCATGAGCCAACATACCAGTTCGAGTTTACAGATCAATTGAAGTGTACTGTTGGTGACCAGCCTTTCAGTTCCTTTTGCGAATGTTCTTTTAATCGAATTATTTATAGTTGGCTGCCTATTCAATTTATTGTTATTTTGTTTCAAGAAGCACTTGTATGTGCTAATTATATCTAAGTTTCTCGATTATTATTACCAGGTTTATTGCTTGGAGATTGGATCAAATGTTTCAAACTCAAACTACAAACCAATGAAAACAAAAACCACCAATACATTACAGTGAAACAATTAAAAGATTTCATGTTGTTTTGCAGATGAGACACACAGTCACTTGTGGGAAAAGGAAAAGCACAAGAAAGAAAAACCAGCAAAGTCATATTGAGTTCGACGGCAACATGGAAAATACTCTGAAGCCAAAGGATGTGGAGAAAAATAGTTTTCGGGCTAGCATATATGATACCTCCAATATGCTTAACAACAATGAAGTATCAAATAATGGTTTAGTGGCTGAATTTGTTTCTGACGTATATGGGTTATCGAACCTCTCTCTTGAAAATGGGGGCTTGGTTGGTTCCACCACATGCAGAATGAGTACCCTCAGCAATGGACACAAGTACTTTGGTGAAGTTTCTTGTCTTGAATTTGATCATGGTGGAACTTCAGAAGGAAGCTGCCTAATAAATAAAGCTGCTGACTGCGACTTGAAGGAAATAAACGGAGAATCAGGTTCCCTTTTGGATCTAGATCATGAAACTGTGGGGCAAGCTAATAAGGTCAATGAGTCTTCTAGTTCCGGAGAATGGGTAGCGTATTGGGATGACTTTTACAAGAATACCTACTTTCACAATGCCGAAACTGGAGAGTCCACGTGGGACCCTCCTTCAGGAATGGAACATCTTGTTCAAGGGCCTGTTGATGTAGTTGATGACGAAGCTCAAGCTTCTTGTGATTTGTCAAATATGGTTGAAGGGCTTTCTCCTGATAATGTTTTTAGCATGTGCACAGTGAAGAGGAAAAAGAAAATCAGGAAAAAACCGAGCAGGAAATTATCTGTTTCGAGCGAAGGTACACTCTTTTTATTTTGTTTTGTTCTTTTCTTTTTTTCTTTTTTTTTTTTTTTTTTTTTTTTTTTTTTTT